ACAATGAGAGAAAATATGAAATTATTTTTCACGTTCTCACGAAATATCATAAGAGTAACAGCCATTTCTATAAGACTTAAACACGATTTAACTTACTTTTTATCTTTTTCTAATTTTAAGAATTAAACAAAAATAAAGAGTAAATTAAATCGAGATTAAAATTAATCTACATTGATAGAAATAAGATTTCTGACACATTTGTAAATTATCGGCTCGAGAGGATTAATTGGAGTCGCGCATCGTTTATCCCATTGATTATCGGTTCACCAAATGACGCCCGGAGAGGTCAACGCACCCTATATTCGTTGTCTTAAAAATCTCTGTTACTGCGAGGGAGTTCAAGATCAATGTTAAACAGATGCGGGAAGTATCAGAGCGAGAAGCGAAGCGCGATTCACGTGGCGTGACGTCCACGCCACGACCGCGACCTGTTGAAAAAAGGAAGAAGATATCGCGAGAAAAACGGGGCCTGAATCCTTTCCATCTTGCTACAACAAAGTGGCTCGACATCGTAACGCTCCAAAAGTCAAGCTGCGCGCTGCGTAACAATCGGCGGAAATTTGCATTTTTTTCCGTATATCGAAGCGCTGTTACTCAAATAACGATAAGTTTTAAGATATAGTTAATGAAACTCGATATACTTTACTTTAGTACGCTAATATTTTCACATGCTAATGAAGATGGTAAGATATATTTCAGATTGTAATTCGGAATTTTTCTATATAAAACATTATAATATTTTTAATATAAATTAGTAGATCATCTAAATCCAATGTTTTGCGTGGCTGCAAAGTATCGGTAAGAGATCTTAGTTGGCATCTTTCTCTCTAACTTTGAACAGTCATACGGCAAGTTGTATCTAACTATGGCATTGGTGTACATTCAAGAGAATACGTTAAGTTTTTAACTATTTAACGTGTTAAGCGAACACGTTAGTTACAAAAGTTTTTTGTAACTTTGGAAACATTTTCCCATTATCCATTTAGTAAAGATGTTTGTTATTCAATACATAAGTGTAAAGTTTCACGTCTTTAAAATACGTCAAGTACAATCTTATTTTATCTTTCGCCACATTGTTCTCTTAACTTACTAATTTATTTATTTTGTTATTCTCTATTTTTCTCTTCTTTCTATTATTTAATACAATTATTAATTACAATTATTGTTAAATTAATTTCTAAATCTATCAGACTCTACTTTCGATTCTTTTACGGTTGGTCAAAAATAAGATTTGCATAAACATTATGTAGGTCAATCAATGCACTCACTCTGAAAAAACGTAATAATGGCAACATATAAAAATAATAACTGTATAATTTTTATTAACGTAGAATTTATGTATACAGTTAAAAACTATGTATACATAATTTTACAATAACTATAAAATAGCCAATAGCGGATTTAGATAGAGACCCAAGGAATCAAAATTAAAGTAAATTTTATATTTGTGCAAGTTTGTCAGTTGTGACAATGTTCGCCAATGTGACATTTTGAAGTAGTGCTTTGACGCATAAAAATCAAATCTTGACGTTTTGATGGAAAAGTGATACTTTTTGACGATAACCAACTTTTTTTTTATTGTTCTAAAAAGGAACCAAGAAGTAGGAACCTAGGATGCAAAAATGTATAAATCTCCCATTGAAAATAGCTTATTCAATAACACAAATATTAATTCTATACATATATAAAACTTGTACAGTCGTCACCTTAATTTATAATTGTTATCACCAAGTTTTTTTCTGTCGTATAAAGTGTTATCAAGTTACATAAAGATCTTTCGTTTCACGGGACAACCTAACGAGCTGCGAGAACAGGCGCGGATCCAGCAGACCCTAAAGATAGCAAGCGCATTCAACTAGGCAAACAAGCAAACAAGGTTCCACCGTGGCGGAAGAGTTCGCGTCTCGGATTCCCTCTGCGATCGCATCCCGATGAAGGAACGGAACGGAAAACGGCTCTTGGACCCTCTTTCAGCATCGGATACGTAGCGCATACCTGGTCGCAGTGGCGTCGCTTCGCGGCGGCAGCGGCGGTGTTATTCTCGGGGTCGCGTCGCTCATCGTCCGGGTTGCCTGCCGGCGTACCGGCGGGCACACTTCTTCTCTATTCTTCTTGCTCGTACCGGAGGGCACGCGACGCCCTGTAGTGGCCTATGGCTTCGCCGCGCAAAGCCGCACACGAGCCGAGACCGAGGCCGAGAAGGCAATTGAGAGACTGAGGGAGAAACGTTCCCTGAGAACGCCAATGGTGACGGTGACAGCCGTCCTCGGCCGCGAGCGCGGCAACACTGACCTGCCACCACCGCGAGAGAGAGGAGAGAGGACCGCGACCGGATAACAGAACCTCTCTCCTCCGAGTTCCTCCGGCTGTGCTGCGATTCTCCCTACTCTCCACTCATGCTTCTCTTCCTCTTCGCCGTTTTTCACATCTCACCTTTCTCTCTCCTCGTGAACCTTGCGGGTTGCGGGCGTTCTTGAGGAGTATAAGAGAGACAAGGAGCTACCTCATCTACTCTCGTGTCCCAGAAGAGACTTGAAGTCTCGCGCGGAAGAGAAATGCAAAAGTCTAGAAAGAGGAACATGTATTTTTTATTTTCTGGAGAATTAATGTTCTCCACTGAGAGGAATAAACACTCGTTAACTTCAACCTCTGATTAATAATGGATCTCTGAGTTCCGGGAGGGCATTAGAGAGAGAAACGATCTCTTGGCAATTTCGCCGAGGAAGACATGACATTGACAGAAAGAGGGCACCTCTCTCTATCACTTTTACTCTTCGAATTTTTTTTTTTTCGTTTTTTTTTTCGTTCATGAAGAGAAGCGAAAAGTAGACCCCGGAAGAAAGGGGAAATTGAGTAGCATCGACAGAAGGAGGACACGGTTCTTTTTGCTTTTAATCGTAGCATTTAAGTTTCTTTCTCTTTAAATCCATAAAAAGTATCAAAAGAGAAGGTTCTCTTCGGATCGCGTTTGGTTATGAGAAGACGGGGCACCGACAGAAAGAGGGCATATTACTTCTCATTTTTAATTTGAGTTTCTTCTTTATTTTGAGTCCGTAAACAGAAGGAAACTTCTTCAGGTCAAGATCGCCAGTTTAAGAAAAGACGAAGCGAGATCGCACGCTTATTTTCGAATTGTAATTCAATTCTTTATTTTGGATTTCTTTATTGGCTGAAATGGAAAAACAATGAAGTAATATTGTAAAAATTGATGTAAAAAAGATAATATTGGTGTAAAAAAAAGATTGTTTTTTTCTCTCTGCAATTAATCCATTTCGTTATTTTAAGAAAATAAATTACTTCGTATCTTTAAAAAGTTGCAAAGATTATTTATTAATCTTTCAGCTCGCTTCTAATGCGCCGTGTTGACGGAAATGTAGGTTCGATGTAACGAAGGAACGTAAGCGACTAGAAAACAGGTGACCGATGAGGAAGTGTCCGACGAGACACTTTGCTTGTTACCAATGAAGCCTGAGAAAAGAGCAATGCCTGCGTGCGGATCATTGACTCCTGATAAAGCCCCTTTTCTACCTTTTCCGCAATGACGTGTTACAATATACAGAGAGAGAGAGAGAGAGAGAGAGAGAGAGAGAGAGAGAGAGAGAGGAATGGATTTTATGGAAACTGAATCCTACAATTACTTCAGCTTCGGATTATTAAAACTTAACTTCTTAGATACTATATAAACTATAATAAACAATAGACAATATAGTAAACTGTACATAGATTTTCATTTTGAATATATAATTTTTCTAGGCGGAGAGTTGTTCCATTTTTCGCTTACTATCTTACTCTCTTACTCTTTTATGCTCTTATTCTTTTATTCTTTTTGTTTACTCAATAGATAAATTACTACATAATTTATTTGAAAATGGAACAACCGGTTTAATAAAATAAATACTTTTGTTATATACGTATAACATATATAGGGTGTATCAAAAATCTGAAAGCGGTCGAATATCTCGAAAGCAAAGCATTTTTGGGAAAAAGATGGATGATCCTGAATAACATTTTTAGTTGTCAGCATCGGTCGGACACTTTGTATAATGTTGCTGCTTATTGTAGCTTTCAAGCCATATAACTAAAAAAAAATGCTTAATTAAAAATGACTTTATTATAGTGTTTTGAAAAGCTCTTGACACCGGTTATTAAATTCTGCCATAAAAAATAAGACATTCCGTTTAAAAAAATTGATTTGACCTTAACCTGACTTTGGCGATGTCACCCAAGATCAAATGGATGTGAATAAATCTTTTTAAACCCTACAACTTTTGTTTGAAACATCTTTCTCAAAAATGTTTTGCTTTCAAAATATTCGACCGTTTCCAGATTTTTAATACACCCTGTATCAAAACAAATATATATGAAAACGATGGTTTTACCATGTCTAAAAATTTGGTTAGATACAGATTTGAAAATAATTTTATTAATCCATCAAAATAATTATGTATAAGGACACGCTTAAACTGGTTGCTGAAATACATTTTTCAACAACGTTGCTTATTATTGCTATACGTAATTATTTTGATGGTATCCAACAAAATTATTTTTAAATCTATATTCAGCTAAATTTTTATTATTACACAGATACTTCAGAAAAATCGTTCTTTTCTGTATTAATATAAATTTTTGCAAAAGAAAAAAATAACTTTACTTGTAAATTTCAAATCGATAGCTAGCACGATTTTACAAAATGTACAATATATCATAAAAATTATATATAATTTTGTTCATAAAATATATATTTGAAAAAAAATACCACTGCTTAAAAATGTTCTTTATTCCTCTAAAGATAGATTGTCAGATTGTCACATAACATGCAAACATAATTTTTTAATAATACGGTTGCGCCAAGATATTCTTCATGAATTCTACGCCAAGCAATTCATATAATTGCGGTCTGAATTCATTAAAATCAAAAGCGTAACTCGTATGATGTGCGTAATCAAAAGCAACAGATATACGTACAACGTTCCACATGCGCCGGTTATTTCTACGTGTTGGCGTCTTGTTTAGTATGCATCTAGGTAAGTGATTTATCATCGAATATCTGCTAGTATAACGTCATGCAATATTCACATTTTATCGTTCTTCTCATGCTTACCGTCCCTACAAGATTTGGCTATACAAATTTACACGCAATTAGTTTGCGCGTTAGTGTACCCTCGTGACCGGATCGATCAATAATTCTGCGAGTTCTAAGTTCCGAAGGCGGAGTGAACGTTATGGCGTCATGTAAATGTGCCTCGAGGGCCCACACATTCATATATACCTTGACATATTGTATATTTATTGCGCAACAGAAATGGTAGCCGCACAGAAACCTGTGCGGTGAGAACCGCTTGCAATTTATATGGAAATACTATTCCTCTTTCAAATGCATTTCACTGAATGCGTTAAGCTAGCAAATAATGTGCACTTTTCGCCAGTGGAAAATGGCAATGCACATTAACCAGCGTATGAATGTACAAAGTCGTTCCCGCTACGATTTTATATTATGGTTATGTATTTCTAGCATATTTATTTTTCTAGCGCTCATACGCTGCTTCCACACAAATACGTATTAATTATTACACAGAATTCATTTATTCAGTAAAGCACATGAAGTCGACGTTTTGCATTTCAAATAAACGCACTGATACCATCGTATCAATTTTCACTTATTAAATTTCTCATTTTGTTTCACGTCTGACCTACTTTATTTGTACAAAATTTTTATTTTTATAACTTCAAAAACAAGTTTTAATTAGTCTCGCTGCTGCTCGACTAACTAATCCTCGCAAATATAATATCCATCGTCCCAAGAATGGAACCGAGGCGTCGAATGACGTCAGATTATTGACAAGTATCTTCTTTTCTCTCTGTAAGATTCAGCATCCTCTGATTTTTTTGCCTATTATATATCGGCAACTGTCACTTCGACTTTCTCACTTCACGTAATTTCACACATGTCACGCAAGTACCGTTCTCGGTGCCTCATCCTTTCGCAAACAAAAAATTTATGTGGTCGCATCTTCGCGTAAATTTTCTTTTCTCGGTTATTCGCAAACAGATCAGAGAATTAGAAGAGCCCTCTTGATCGAGTTTGATTCTTACCTGATGCGTGATGTATCGGATGGAGTATAGTTCACATCGTGTTCCCGCGTAACGGTTGAAAGCACCGACCCTCTCTATATCGGTGACGTCGCTTTATCGTGATGGTTTTCTTCTGGTACTTGTACGGGACATAGCGCTACCGTGCACCGGGAACAACGCATTGTTACGTCCGTCAGCTGCTGCTCCGCACCGCTCCGAACCGGCATGGCACGCTCATCGGGGGAGCAAGAGGGGCGCGAAGCTGGCTGTAACATGGAAAGAAGGGTACGAGGCGAACGACGCGACCACGCGACGAGAGGGACAAAGCCGAGGAAAACACGAGATAGAAAGAGAAAGAACAGAGAAGGAACGGCTGATGACGCACAATACGAAGCTGGACCCTATCTCGTCCCAATTAGCTTATTTCGAATGTGAAATAATTAATTGCTGGAATGTAAATACTCTATTTCTCTCTCTTGTGTTGAATTGTAACGAGAGAAATATTAAAGAAAAAAAAAATAGAAAAAGAAGCGAAAAATATATAGAAATTAAGAGAGAGAAAGAGAGAGAGAGAGAAAGAAAGAAAGTTAAAGAAAAAAATTAACGCAAATTATCTCAATTTGTAAAATACAGATGCCATTTTGTTCGCGCGATTGGTTCTTAAAAACAGGTCCACAGTTAAAAGATAATCAGATGACAAACTCGTCATTTCTACCCAGAACTTTCGTCGGTAGAAAGTAAGGATTTACGCACATTGAGTTAGATATTTTCTCACGATTTCTGTACGCTCGTTTTAATGTCTTGAACGTTTACTGTATACTGTTCACTTAATTACACAGTTTAATTGCGCGATATGCAAGTGCAAACGACGCGGAATTTATAGCACAATGTCACATTATACAAGTATATTATGCAGAGTGTCCTACTTCTAGCGGAGATTAATCGGTAAATGATTGAATTTTCTATAATCTGGAAATAGAGGAAAATGAGAGAGAGAGAGAGAGAGAGAGAGAGAGAGAGATCTCAGCAAAAACATATCTAATATTAAATAAAGAATATTATATTTGTTTTTTATTATAGAAAAGATTTCTTAGCAAAAATACATCTATTCTTGCAGAAAATATTATTTCGCGCAAATATAATCTATTTTTCGTTGTGATTGTTATTTTCTTTGAAACGAAATTTGTAATGAATTTGAACATTTATAATTGTGTTCTAAGCGGAAAAAAAAATGAGCAATAAGGTTTTGTTGCTTATATTTATATTCTTAAAGTTTTTCACATTTACGATTCATTAAAACTAATAAATTATTAATTAACGTCACAATATCTTAAGAAAATAACTCGAAAGTCTTTGTTTCATATGATCAATATGTCATCGAAGAAGACATGATAAAAAGTAGAATGTACTCTGTAGCAACAACTCCAACACTACAAAATTTGCAGCAATATATTACTGTAACATTGCTGCAACATGTAATATTTCTACAATATTACAGCAATATTGCTGCAACTTTTGTGCTGTTGGGAAACAGTAAACTCTTCATATTCACATACTTATATGTTATATAGATCTGCTGGCAGAATATCCTTGAGCTTCAAACAAATCGTCTGAAGAATTAATTACGAAAATATTTATAATGGTATAATATAGCTTGAATGAGAAACGTTTAAATTTAGAAAGCACTTTTTCGATTGCTCCCCTCTGCTTCTTCTTCTTCTTCTTATTCAATAAATTAAGTGATGATGCCAAATTAGTTCTCGGAAATTATTAAGTAAAAAAGCTTAAACTATATAAATGACTTAAAAATGTTGAATATAAAAAATTGAAACATATTCTAGGGAGTAAATAAAACTATTTATTTAAAAGTTGTATGTACGATATATAATACTTGATATAAAGTTATGTGTGTCATATCGTAATTTTGCACATGATGTAAATAAAAAATAATTAATAGTTTTAGTTTTTAAAATTAAAATGTTGTAAGTTGATCTTCTTTATCTTGTTCTTGGTTTAAACTTCTGAACTTAAGTTTTAGGAATTCTTGGAATAAGAGTTATAAATATTCTTGGAATTTTAGATAACATAATCTCTATAATTAATTATTTTTTCTTAATACTTTATCAATGTTAATGAATTTAGATTTTTACATTGACATTTTTAAAATTAAAATTCTTGGAAATACGATTTTTAGAATTTTTATTATTGCATGTAAGGAATAAATATAGAAAGATATTAACTGCTTTCCTTTTAAGAGAACCTTTCCAGGGTCGTTCTATTCTTCTTGGAATTCAATGAATAATAAAACATATCATTTGTGTTTCCTAAAAGGAAAGCAACAATTAACAAGATTTATTATTAATAAATGTTTCACATTAGTATATATAATTAAAAACGTAATTACAATTTTTCTTTTAATTATCAAATATATATAATAATTATACATAAGATAAGATGCCAAATTTTTATGCGATTTATTTTAATTTTAAGTTTTATACGAATTAGAATTTGTATAAAATTACAATGGAATCTCAAAAATATTTTATTAATTAAATATATATAATTTTTTTAAGTATTTTTTTAAAGATTTAGGTTTGTCTCTCAAATATTAAGCCATAATTTATGAATGGATTTTTATCTCTAATTTTAAATAATTAAATAATTTTATATTTATGTAATGTTGCATGTACTTTTAAATGTTTCTTTAGGTGTAAGGTACAAAATTAAACATGACACACAATTATTCTGAAATAAGATTTAAATCCAATTTTCAGAGATTCAAGTTTGGTATTTTCTTGTTTGATAGTACAATTATTTTTTATTAGTACTTACACATAATCAGGATTACTAAATTTGAATCACAAAATTGAATTCAAATTTTATTTCGTTGCTATAGAGTTGTGCGTTTAGGCATAAGTATTTATAATAATCTATATCTACGCGCGCGCGCGCGTAATATAAACTATGTTTTATATGTAAACAATCTATGGATCATCAAAGTCTATGTTTTTATAAATTGTCGTTTTTATAAATTATCGTTGCACTAAACAGCTGCACTAAAGCTTCTATAATATATTTCACGTATATATGAATATTCAATTATTTTAAATATTAAATTTTATTTATGAATATTAAAATTAAATATTAACAGCCATAAAACTTCATTACTTCTTTCTGTATTTTACTATCCAATTCATGTATATATAATAATTATTTACATAATATTTTACATTATTCATATTATATATTATAAAAAATAGACATATGAACTTATATAAACAATATGTAAATATTCTATGTAAACATAATTTTAAAATATACAACACAATCCTATTTGTTTTATATCGTTATTTATTTCTATTTACAAAGCGTATACTTCTTGGCAGTTTTGCTCCCAATAAAGCGATAACAATAGATAAAATAGATACATAATTATCAGCTATAGATAAAGTCATAGAATATCAAACACATTACCAATGGAAACATATTACAATTATATATTGATAAACTCATTTGCACAGTCGTTTACCGATACAAGGGAAAGATGTCCTCAGTTCTCAAGTCTATCAGTAGAAGCAACCATCGATCCATTTGTTTACTGAGGTCGTCTGCTAGCCCGACATTCCCTGACGTGTTTCGCAAACGTTGCGAATTATGCTGTGAGAAACGCCCGTGTTTATGTGACTGCTACAGGTGAAAACGGATCCGCGATGCCGGGGACCGAAGTTAGTATTATATTCTATATAATATGTACAATATGTATGTGCCAAGTAGAAGACGAACTCTGACATTTTGACGTTTCTAACATCTGGCTCGGCTGTGACAGTAACCGAGACAAGGACGAAAGTTTCACGACGTGTCTAACATTTTATTTTATTGATTGAATATTGATTAGTCAATATTATGTAATAATTATTTATTTATTATATTAGTTTGTTGTTATTTATACAGCAGTAGTACTAAATTTGTTGAATCCACATTAGTAGAATCTAATGTAATCAATTGCGCGAATTTTTAGAATTCTTAATTTATATAATTAATTTATTATAATATATGTAGATTCTTTTATATACTTTCAAATGATTTGCTGACTCTTATGTGCTCTTTACATCTTCTTATTGTTTTCTAATGTAATCAATCTAATCTATCTTTTTTTTTTATTTTTACTATATTATAATAAACATTTAATTATTGTATCAGAAATCATATATCTTTAGAATTAAATGATGTCCTTTAAAATGCTAGCTTAATCTTAATATTACATTCATACATAGGACAGCACAACGGAGCTGGGAGAAATAGAGAATGTCAGGGTGGTGGTACGAGTTCGACCATTGAGCAGCAAAGAGTTTGATGCCCACTGCAAAAATATAATAGATGTAGATGCCCTAAATGCTGAGATCACTATAGAAAATCAAAATGCAGCTCAGGGAGAGCCACCAAAAGTCTTTTCCTTCGATGCAGTATTTGACACGGACTCTACTCAGGTGGATATTTACAATGAGACAGCCAGGCCTATAGTGGACAAGGTGCTACAGGGCTACAATGGAACGATCTTTGCATATGGCCAAACTGGCACCGGCAAAACTTATACCATGTCTGGTGCTAAAACCTCCCCACAAGCCAGAGGAATTATTCCAAACACGTTTGCTCACATTTTTGGTCATATAGCTAAAGCCGATGAAAATCAGAAGTAAGGCATCATACACACTTGTTTTATTGACAACAAAATATGCAATAAAAATTAGCCTTTTACTACAAAATAATACTTGATACTTTGTTGATACTTTGATACCTTTTATACTATTAAAATGGTTGAGCATAATTAAGATACCGTTCTAAGCAAATTGAATTTATTTATCAGGTATTAATATATTAATAATTATTGTTAATAGATTCCTCGTGCGTGCGACATATCTAGAGATCTACAACGAGGAAGTTCGGGATTTGCTTGGTAAAGATCAGAATACTCGATTGGAGGTGAAAGAAAGACCAGACATTGGAGTATTTGTAAAGGATCTGAGCGGATACGTAGTGAACAATGCTGACGATTTGGATCGTATTATGTCTCTCGGCAATAAAAATCGTGAGTAACAACAATATTGCTGTAAACAGATAGCAATTGATTGTGCGTATATACCAAAAATAATCCTGAGTATAGGTGTTGTTGGGGCTACTGCCATGAATGTGTCCAGCTCCCGATCCCACGCAATATTTACAATTACGGTTGAATCTAGTCAGATCGGGGAAGATGGGGAGCAGCATGTGAAAATGGGGAAGCTTCATTTGGTGGATTTAGCTGTATGTATATTAGTGTACACTTATGTGACCTAATATTATTTTTTAAATAGAAAATTTTCCAAATGTTTTCTTATCTGCATGTGTTCTATCTGCATTTTCCTTTACTTTTAGGGATCAGAAAGACAGAGTAAAACAAAGGCAACAGGTCAGCGGCTTCGTGAAGCCACTAAGATTAACTTATCATTGTCCACATTGGGAAATGTAATATCTGCGCTAGTTGACGGACAAAGCTCTCACGTGCCTTACAGAAATTCCAAACTGACTAGATTACTGCAGGACTCATTGGGCGGAAATTCGAAAACGTTGATGGTGAGATAGAGATATTTCATACGTTACTTATTGTAAATAATTACAAATACGTTACTAATTTTAGTAAGTAATATTGGCTGTGTTCAACGGATTCAACAGTTGAGTAAGCATTCGGTGTTATTGGTTTGTTC